GACATCCCTTGCCAGATTCAATTCCAGGTGGGCCTTGGCCTTCCTCGTTGCATCCCTGCATGCTCTGACCACATTCCTGTGTTCTTCCCAAGTGGCCTGTCCCTCTTTCCACATTCCATGGACCTTTCTCTTCCACCTGAGCTCCGCTAGAAGCTCCCTGTTCAACCATGCAGGTCTCCTGCCTCCTTTGCTAGATTTCTTTCTCAGAGGGATGCACCACTCCTGAGCGTGGAGGAAGTGACGTTTAAACAACAACCAGCACTCTTGGACCCCCCTGCTGTTGAGAGCACTGGCCCACAGGATTCCTCCAAGTAGGTCCTTGAAGAGGCCAAAGTTAGCCCTCCTGAGGTCCAAGGTTTTGATCCTGCTTATCGCCCTGCTTCCTCCATGCAGGATCCTGAACTCCACCATTTCATGGTTGCTGCAGCCGAGTTTACCTAAAACCTTCACATCCTCCATCATTCCCTCCTTGTTTGTTTGTACAAGGTCCAGCAGAGTGCCTTTCCTTGTTGGTTCCTCCACCACTTGCATCAGAAAGTTATCATCGATGCTCTGCAGGAACCTCCTGGATTGCGCCTGCCTAGCTGTATGGTCTTCCCAGCTGATGTCAGGGTGGTTGAAGTCCCCCATGAGAACCAGGGCCTGTGACTGTGAGGCTGCTTGCAGCTGCCTGTAGAAGGCCTCATCAACCTCCTCCTCCTGGTCAGGTGGCCTGTAGTACACACCCACAGTAATGTCACCCATGTGAGCCTGTCCCTTAATTCTAACCCACAAGCTTTCAACTCGTTCCTCATTTGCCCCCGCTCAATGCATTCCAGTTGCTCCTTCACATACAGAGCAACTCCACCACCTCGCCTTGTTGGCCTGTCTTTCCTAAAGAGTCTGTAGCCATCCATGATGGCACGCCAGTCATGCGAGTGAACAGCATTTGACTTCTTTCAGCATAGACACAGGCCATGTGTTCCAGCAACCCTAAGGCGCAAAGTTCACACAGGCAGCCTGACTCTGACATGAAGCTGAGATTCCTACACAGGCTTTCCCCTGCAACAGGTGCTGCTGACAAAAAAACACTTCCAGTAAGATTAAATCAGGCTTGAAAGTCTGCTTTTAAAAAAAGTCTGCTCCCAAGCCTCATAAAAAACGAAAAAACAAACAAACAAACAAACAAAAAACCAAAAAACCCCAAAAAACCCCACACCAAACCACCGAGTAATACCTTGGAGGAAACGGAAGCAGAGATTGTTTCGGGCAGGCCCATTGCGGGCTCCGCCGCGGGGCGCGGCACTTACCGAGCCCCAGCACCGGGATGCTCTGG